CAAAATTTTGACCTATCGGATAATAATAGGTTTTAGGGTTTATGTTTTACAATATATTGTATTTTGTGAAAAATTGGAATTTATGTTTTTAAGTGTATTATATTTTGTTATATATAAATAAAAGCATCTTAGTTTTCAATATTTATTTGTGTTGTTATGCTTTCTTTAAACGTAAGGGATAATACTTTAAGTATAATTAAATAAATACCAAGTTCGATAATGTAAACATAAAACTCGATTACATAAAAAGTAAACACTATGATAGTCTTGAGACTATGAAATCTAAATCACAATTTGATTACAAAAACATAAAATGCAATGCATTTTCTGGCGTTAGTACTTGAGATTTAATGACCATCATTAGATTGAATGTTTCGTATTCAAAGTTTGAGGAGAATGCACCATGTGCATTCCGTATAAAGAGAGATACACCATCGACATGAAAAATTAACGATATGGTGACAATGTGTAGATCTTAGTGATAACTATCATTATATCACAACCATAAGGTATACTTTCAAGTCGTATTTTGTAGATGGACAATATCCTTCATATAATCATGTACTTCAATTATGATGTTCTCCATCGGGGTATTACTTTCAAGTTTCAAGGTCCACACTTTGATCATCCTCATTCAAAGCACCATCTATCTATAACTTGTGATTTTATCATAAAATCTCATTATAACATATATTAGGATTACATTCGTTACTACGAGGTTTAGCATACCAACGCTGTATTATGTCAAGAAAAAACCTTAATGAGCATTGTTCTTGATACATTTTGTTTGTTACTTTCTTCTAAATTAGATGCTGTGTATGTTTTGCATGACAACCGCATAACATGGTTTCTAAGCATTTCCTTTTGAGAGGGCATCTTTATTATGATTAGTGGTTGCAAGCAAGTTTCAAAACATCCAAATCTATAAATTATTGAATAATTATTCACTCAAACTGAAAATGCAAACCATTATGTGTATCGAAAGGAATCTTTCCATGCAACCGATAACAACAAATAAAAACTCAAACATCTCGTAATTATCAGTTGAGTTCTATGCAGAAAAGTCTCATTATTTTCGGAAAATTTATATAAAGTTCTATTTTTTTTAACAGGAAAGTCTAATTATTTTGAGATACGCAACCCACAACTGATTGTCAAACTGATTAAACTAAAAAACTTCACATAACTGAATCAAGTATTGCATGTTTATATAGAGCATAAGATATGTAGAAGCCCAAGGGCACAAACTCATGTAAACCATAAACAGTAAACCGTAAACCCTATACTTATTCTAAAACAAAACTATATGTATTCACATCGTTATTCACATCGATGATTTCTTCAAATTTCAAAGCTTCTATAGAGTATAGCCTATACACTATTCTCATCACTTATGAGAAGAATCAGAGTCTGTAGAAATCGAACCTTTTTCAATCGGAACATTAGACCACACCAAAGCAGCACTTCCAACTGTAACCACAGCAACAATCGAACCCCAAATCCACCTTTGTCTTCTCTTCCTTCTTTGCCTAACACACCTCATTGCTTCTACACAACATAACACAAATCTTAAAATCATTTTCAAAAAAAAGATAAACAAAATTAAAAATACTCACCCATAGTTTCTTGATTCCTTTGAGACATTTCACGATTGACAGCTTCATAGTACTTTAATCTGTCCAACAACCTAGCAATCTCAAAGTTCTTGGAATCTAAAAGTAATTCCATTTCAGCTTCAACTTCGGCTTTACCGATTCCCCTACCGATGGAATCGGAAACAAACCGGATTACATGAACCTGATTGGATAAATCATCTGCTGATTGGTCTTCTTCCAAATGGGTGAGATTCAATCCAACTAGAGATAATTGTTCGCGTATTCTCCCCCATTGGTTTTTCATGTCATGTATTTTTTCTTCTGCTTGTTTCCTTTTCTCCATTTCCGCTAGCAAACTCAGTTTCATTTCACGTAACTCGGTCTCAAAGTCGCTTCGAGAAGACTGTGATCCAATCTCAGATGACAATTCTGAAAGAAAAAGAAATCGGATTCATGTTTCTTATCAACAGAATTTATGGTGTAAAATGTAAATGTAAGGAAAGTTACCTTCCCAAGCATCATAAAATTCAGAAGCTGAAGTGTTGACTCCATCTGTGCTGCTTCTAACACTCAATGAATCTTGAGGGTCGAAGAAATCATCTGTCTCGTTTCCTTGTTCCAAGTTAGGGTTTGAAATTGAATTATCCTGTTCAACTGCTGGATTATTACTGATATCAATATCATCTGTGCCATTGATCTTCTCATCAATGGTCTCACTCCTCTTTTCATCAAGTAGAGCGGTATCTTTGTCAGAGAATGTTTTGAGAAGACGGGGCCCACGTCCCTTGTGGTTAACTATATATGGTGATGGAGTGAAAGATGATGGGGAATCTGGAACTAAAGGGAGTGGAGTTGGGTCAGGGGTAGCATACAGAGCAGGTGAAATCTGTGTCCAGTGATGCTTTCTTTCTTTAGTTTCTGTGCTGTTGTTTGAATCTGGTTGTTTATCAGTGTCATTGACTTGGTTCCCTTGTTTTGAATCACTTCCATTTTTCCCGGCTGCCATGGGTTTTGAAGCTTTTGGTTCTATTAAGCTATGTAAAGCTATTGTTGTGAACGTAGGCATCGCAACATCAAAAGATCCCTATGGCTTCAAGCTTATCTATTCAATCAACCATCAAACAAACGAATTCGACATTAGTAGCAATTCAGATGAATCAATAACAGTTACGAACACAAAAATAGACCTAAATCTGATAATTTCCTCAGTATCTGGCCATCAAACACAATTTATAATTAAAATTCCATCGCCTATCAACAACTTTACTCTAATTTCACTCGCAGCGCTTTGAATTTTCAACATTTTATTGATAATTACACATTCCATTGAGGAACACGTGCATAACAACCTGATTATTATGTAAAACGTGCATCGAATCTATACAGATAATATGTACGCATAATCAAGCAATGAAAGTATACAACCGAGAAATTCATTCGCAGATACTATAGTAAATTCCCAAACTGTATAATTCAAACACAAAGCCATACGTTTTCAGCTTCTATAACAGTATTTATCAGAAATTCAAATCTTCAACATACTTACAGATCGGAATCAAGAGTCAAACATACAATATATAAACATAAACACTTGATTCGTGCCAGAAGTGAGCATAAATGATTTGCTAATTGATATATGCAAACTTACAGGCATGTATCTGTATATAAATAATATATATAAATCAGTAAGCATAAAAGAGTCGTACCTTAAGGATGGAATTAAAACGTAGGGAACGGAAGGTGCAACAAAACGAAGAAGACGAAGTCGACGATCGGCTTACAAGATTCCATTCGCCTCCCTGGCTTGTGGAGGAAGTCGAGAAGAATCGTTCAGTTTCTTTATTGGTTGCTGGCTATCGTACGCGCCACGTATCACGCTAAAGTATACCGGTTTTTACTAGATATTTACAATTCTCCCCCTTATATTTTGGCTTAAGGACATTTCATGTCCTGAACTTGCATATTTTGCACGTGATCATCTCCTAGGTTTGCACTTGTTTATGCCCCTTGCTCTCTTCATCTATCTATTCAAATTTAAGATGAAAGTGCTCGCTTATAAATTAGATAGTTTTGATTTAAGTGCTTTTGTGTTCATGACTTTGGAAAGAAAAGAATACAAGAAAAAGAGGGAAAATAATAATTTGATATTTTTTAGTTCTATAGAGTTGGTAATCGAAAAAAAAAATACATCCTAATAAAAGCATATTATACATGTCACATCCAAAATAATCACATACATCCAAAATAGGATCTTCTCACGAATGAAAAACATACGACATACCTAATGGTATAAAGTGGGAACCCCAATGATTGTACAAGATGGCCATCAAGATGTACAAGATGGTAGAAAAGGGGTACAACTTAAAATTTAACATGGTAAAAAAAATATAGATTAAACTAGTATCTCGTTACCCCCTATAAATCTAACCTTATTTATAAGGTTGTTAATGTCAAAATGTTCCTTGTTAAAAACAATGATGCCAAATTTGCCATTAAAAGAGTTACAAAATGGTAACAATAAAATAAAGGAATTGATGGAGCCTAAAAAGTTGGTATATTACATTTATCTAATTCAATTTAATTTAGCATATCTTTAACGATTAATTCACCAATACTTTTGTAACAAAAGAAAAAAATATATTTACAAAAATATGTTATAAAAATAACATTGAAATTTATGTTTTTTATTATAATAATCATACAAGTATCATAATGGGGAGTCTTATTTATTTATTTATTTATTTATTGTACCTATTTTCATTTCTTCTAGAAAAAAGTTCATTTCTCCAAAATAAATGACTCAAGATTCAAGGGAAACTCTAGCTGACAAATAGTTTTGATTTAAGTGCTTTTGTGGTCATGTCGTCATGAGGACTTATAGTTCACCTTATGAAAGTTGGAGGACCTACAATGGATTAGACCGAAGCAATGATGTACGAAGTGTAACTTCATCGATAAATAAAATAAGTGATGCTCATTGCCCGCCTCCCGAGGCATGGTGGTGATAAGATTCAGATTCCGCTCGGTATCTCGTGGACGTTGATAGCAACGGAGGGGCGGACCCAACCATAGTTTGGATTTTCGTTTGTCGTGAAATTGAAATAGTTTGGTTTTGATTTTGTGCATTTCGGATTTATTGGATTAGCAACCCACTCGAATAACCCAAATTGAAATTCAAAGTTAATATAATAGTTATTTTTAATGTAATATGTAATATTTGTTCAATAGGGAATTTTATAGTCATTTTAGTATCAAAATATTACATTTACTGAAGACTAATTTTTAAATATCACATCATCACTCATAATTTTTAAAATACAGGATTTGTTTAAATTCTTATAGCCAACATTTTTAAACATATTTTTTTATCAAGCAATTAGCAAACTGTTTATGGTATATCTAACCTAATAAATAAAAAACTTTTTTGTCACATATTATATTTTCTTTTATTTTGATATATATCATTTTGTGATAAGTTTATAATTTTTTTTTATTTTTCATTTTTTTAGGATTTTTATTTGTTTAAAATAAAATTTCATAAAATTCTTACAGCTACTATAAAGAAAGAGAATCATTATATTAATTTGATAATAAAATTTTATAAATGTTTTAACCGATTTGATTTTTTATAAATATTTCAAAAGATTACATTATGTTATGTAAAAGTATTATTTTATAAAATATTTAATGTTTATATATTAATATTAAATATTTTAATTTTAATAAATCTATATAATATACAAGTCTTAGCTTAAATTATATAAACAAATATTGTTCATTACAAATTATATGACATGCCAACGACATGAGTTGTTCCCTCTTGCCATTTTTCAATTATCTTTGATCAAAGAAATAAAATTTATATTTAAAAAGATTAGAATTACGTTGTGAACAAACAACTAAACCTCTTATATTAGTAAGCATCTTTTAAAATAGAATATTGGCTTTAAAATATAGTTGTGTTTTAATATTCAAAGATAGTAATTATATACAATATTTCAAGAAAATGGAAAAAAGTGTTGGTGGACAAAAGATAAATTAGTCATTTAAATGCAAATAATTAAAAATAAAGACAAACCGCAAGAAAGTCGCAAGAAAGTCACTATATGATCATAAAATATTGATTTTAACATTGAGTTTTTTTTTTCTCAATTATGTCATTTTATTTACAATTTTGTTGCATTGTCAACCAATTGACCGATTCAGAAAATATTATTGTAGTTTAGAAGCTCGATTTATACAACAAATAAATGAAGGTCGATCTAACGGTTCGAACTCACTTACAAATATGCAAAAAATGTATAGTCACCCTTTCAAGAGATGTTATTGTAGTTTAGAGCCTTGATTTGTACAACTAATGAAGATCCTTACAAGGTCGATCTAAAACCCTACTTTTTGACTTATCAGCTAGTTGTGGCGCGTCACACACAATATTAATTGTTACATGACCAAAAGCAATACAAAACCTCTCATATGACCCAAAATCGAGAAAAGATTTATGTACATGTAAATAATTACATATCATAATCATATAGGCAATTTGTAATTTACAATATTTCAAAAGTTCATTGGTTTTGGATTTCTTAATTTTGATAGTTATACAAATTATGAATGAGATTTAAAATCGGAAAATCGGAATGGAACCGAAACCATTAGAACCGGTTCTGGTTCTGGGTTTAAAGAATAGTTTTATCTGGGTTTTAGGTAATTCGTTTTTGGGTGCATCAAGTCTGGGTAAATCGGGTTTAAGAACTGGAACCGGTGTTAGGAACCGGAACCACATTTAGGGGTTGAAACCGGTTTCTGTAAAAAGTTTAGAACATGCATATCTCATTCGTTTCAAGTCGGATTGACATACAATTTTTTTCCAACATGTAGTTTAGAGTTTATACATGATTTTAGACTATAAATTTGACATTTTTTGTTTTATATTCATTGACTTACAACCACCCAAAGTCGAGATATCAAAGCTGAAAGCTTTTAGTTTTTCAACTTTTTTGTATTCTGTGAAAATTTTAAAACATACATATCTAATTTGTTTGAATTCGGATTGATATGTGGTTTTTTCTAACTTGGAGTTTGGAGTTTGTAAATGACTTTAGACTATAATTTTGTCAGTTTTGATTTTATATTCAATGACTTACAATCCCCGAAGTCAGGATATCAAAGCTGAAAATTTTCAACTTTTAAGCTATTTGTTTTTGTACTTTGTATTCTATGAAAATATTAAAACATTCATATCTCATTCATTTAAAGTCGGATTGACATACAGTTTTTTCCAGAGTGAATTTTAGAGTTTGTACATGATTTTAAACTATAACTTTGTCAGTGTTGGTTTCATATTCAATGAGTTATAGTCTCCCGAAATCGGGATATCAATATGAAAATTTTCAAAGTTCAACCTACCAAATAGTAAACAATTACCTAAAAACTCCGGTTTTTCCAGTTCTAATATCACTTTATCCGGTTCTACCCTATCCACTTTGATATTTCTGGGTTTTTCGGTTCTAGACCCACTTACCCGGTACCGTACCCGGAATCAAATCGGAACCGGTTCCTGTATACCAGTCCAGTTTTTGGTTCTAAAATATCCCGTTAACTGGTTGTGGGTCCAAACCGACTCCATCCAGATCGGGTTTGAACCCACTTTCATCCCTAATACAAATACTCGTATATGATAACGAAAACATATGTTACGACAACTAGTTTTTGTCACTTAAACCATACATAGTTGCATACCCTCGAAGTCTTTGAAATTACATAAATACATGTTAATATCATGCCATATAGAAGTGTAAATGTCGGATATTTATGCATGTAATAACATTAAAGTATATTTTTATCAATTTATACAAAAAAGTCTAAAATCAAACGATTGATTAAGATGAATGATGATACTTCATTTGGTAGTGATCCATTAGGATTTTCCACATGCCCAAGTTTGGATGCCAAGTCCGTTAATATCCGGTTAAGAGATAAGACCAATAAAAAACCATTATAATCTAATAATTGATCACATAAAATATTTAATGTTGACTAGAATGAAAGAATTAAAACGCTCGGAATTTTCGGAATTCTAATTTGACTTATGAAGAAGAAATTATAGGGTAAATTCAATGTAATCCGGTACTCAAAAAATCAAATGTATATATAGGTATTTTTGATTATTTGATATATAAGAACATAAGATACTTGAAGAACACGCAATGGTATCTACAATCAATGCATACAAACACTCGATTAACGTAAGAACTCCTAAAAGTTTTATGGTTGATTGAAATAATCACTAAATCAGTAGATGACAGGCTTAACTGAATTAGCGTCCCAAATACCTCCTTCCCTGAGATACTCCAAGTACCTTGAAAACTCTGGTTTAGCAGTCGCCTTCTTCTTCCTCCTCTTCTCTAACAAGCTGTAGAGCGGATGCACTTTCCTCACCTTTCTCATTTGCTTGTCTGTGAGATCTACTTTCACCGAAAAATCGCCGGAGGAATTTGCAGGCAACGATGTGGATCTGATCATCTTAGGCTCCGGCGGTAGATTGTCGATGATGGTGGATTCGCTGATCAACTTATTGTATCCCCGGCGACCTTTTCTCTTGTTCATTGCTCTAAACATGCCTCGAAATTGCAGAGAGAAAAGAGACATTGTGGAGGATTGTGAGGTTGGAGATGGTGGAATGCGTGGAAGATTGAAGGTTTCATAGGCGGGGGATTAATAAATAATTACCGGCAAGCTTTGAACAGGTACAAACTAATTGCAACACCTTGAGAACAAGTCTTGAGATAATATGAATTAAGAAAGTTTAAAGATAAAGTCAACAACTCGTTAGATCATTGGAATTGATTTGAATATATTAAAAAAAGTTAATGAACAAGATTGATTAAAATATTTAATTGGTGTAACCATTGCTAGTAAAGTTAAAAGAACAAGATTGATTAAAAAATATTTAAGTGGTGTAACCATTGCTAATATGGTTTTGGATTTGAATCGTTCATAAGGATCCTTTTCCTTTTGTTAAGGAATAACGATCTAATTTATCTTGCAAGTCTTATTCTGATTGGTATACTCATCTTAAAATAATATGATATTTACTTAGTCAAAAGTGAGAAGATTTCATTCTTTATTATATATTAAACTAGACAAATACCCAAACGTTCTCAGAATACAATTATAAATTTAAAATATATGTTGTTTAAATATAAAATGTCTTGGTTAACTTCGATATAACAATTTTTATACTAATTTATTATAAAATATTAATTATTTTGAATTATATGATCATATTAAATCTATTAAAACTATATAGACTTAATCATCATTTTAAAAACTAAATTTGATTAACTTTTTAATTTCTATTACTGTAGTTATTTAAAACACCAAACATTGTTTTTGTTTTTAAATGTAACCATATTATTTTTAACTATTATTGTTATAAGTTATTTGTAAGATACTTATTTAGAAATTATTAATGTTTATAAAAATAGTTTTAGGAAATACTTTAATTGGTTTGGGATTACAATTTAGTTTTTACATTTAACACTATAATTTATAACTTATAATTATTTACAAAATAGTTATTGGATTTTCTTTAAGTTGAATTGAAAATTTCATTTAAGTTAGTACTTTAACACTGTATTTAAATTAACAATTTAAGTATTTTATACAAATTATTCAAAAGTTATGACTTTAAACTGACAATTTAAGAAATAACATATCAAAACTAAGTATAAGTAAAATATGTTAATTTAATATTCAAATTTAGTTAATTTTAGGATTACAATTAGCGTTTTACACCTATTTAACGTTATTAACCAATATATAATGATTATTATAAAGAAATTGAAAAGTAATGAGAATTTCAAATACATGCAGTAAAAAGAAAAATATATTTTTCAGATTTACATGGAAAATTTAAAATATTCACGACTTTTACTTACTTACTTTTTTGAAGTGGTACAAAACAAACGATAATATTTAACATATCTAATTAAATATTATCTACATTACAGTAAATAACATATGATCGATAACATCTCTTTGATCTAATATATATTAACGATTAAAACAGAACATACAACAATTGTATTAAAAAAATCCTAAACCAAGAAAAATATATAAATAATTAGTATATAACATACTAACAAATTAAAGATTAATCCTTTTATAGTTTGTATGTGATTTGTATACATGTCTACCTAAAATATTAATCCTTTTATAGTAAACGTTTCATTAAGTACTTATTAATCATAATATAAGTTATAAAACCTTTGAGTGGTAAATCATTATTAAGAAGACTTTTGAGTTGTATTAGTTAATATATAGAAGTTTTCAAATGAATGTGGTTTGAGCAAAAATGATTTTATATAACCTTAAAAGTTTCAAATGAATGAGGTTCAAGGAAAAATGCTAGCTTTATAAAATATATAGAAATGTACGTTATCATATTAAAGAACTAGTTTTCAGACTCATATATTATACGAGCTTATTAAAAAAGTTAATGTGTAAACATTAAACACTATTAAAATAAGATTTCAAAATAAATACAAACAAAATGATGAATAAATAAATAATTCAATATATACTAATAAAACAACCAATTGAAATGTTTTAAATAATTATTCTTAAATCACAAATTTCCAAAGGTTTTTAAAGGGATATATACATTAAAGTCCCAATATAATCATAGATTTGACAATAAACTCTTAATTTTATTTATTTATTTATTTATTTATTTTACAGTAAAATCCTAACTACAGATAGTTTTTAACACGTTTACCATTTTTTCCGATTAGCCGGTAATTAGGACTTCATTGTAAAAAAAATAAAGTTTAAGACCTTCTTGTCAAATTATAAATTAGGATTTTACTGTAACAAAAAAGTTTAAAATTTTCTTGTCAAATCATTGAAAATATTATGTAACATCTTGTTTTGAGGTACTTCCATTTTTGACCATTATATTGAGATTTATTACATTATGGTCCTTATAATATAAGACTTGTGGCTAGGAGGGGTCAATATTGCCACTTTTGGATTAAGGGGGCGGAGTCACGTACGTTGGGCGTACATTTTGTGTACGCTGGACGTACACGGTGAAATCCCAAACCCTAACATTTAGGGTTTGGACCATATTATTCATCATTAACTCTCAACCTTGGTTCTTTTCATCAACCTCCATACTCTCAAAACGTCATTGCAACCTTAATCCACCTTGCGAGTATTTCTAAGCTTGAGTTTGTGTTTTTGTGCCTTAGAAGAAGAAGGAAGGAAGTAGAGATCATCTTCGAGGAGTAAAACACTTTAGATCCAGAATCACACCATCATTTGGCATCACTTGAAGGTATAAAGTTCTGAACTTGGTGAAGTTTCACTTAGATCCTATTTTAGGCTTGATTTTCGACTCTTTTTGTCCCAAATGTGGTGATTCTTGAGCATAACATGTTCGTGGCCCAATAAGTCGTCCTTTCATACCTTAGGAGGGGTATTAAGTCATAAAAATGTGGTCTTGTTGGTTAGTTTTGCTCCACTCACTCTTTAGAAGGTCTTAATGCATTAAGATGTTGTACTTTGGGGTATGGGGCACTTAATGGACATGAAAGGTCATAAAGTTGGAAACTTTATGACTCTTGAGGATATTTTAGCCATGGATCTATAATTGGAAGCATTAAGTCGAAGAGTTAATAGCTGAATAGGTGGAGAAGTGGGCAGTTGCGTATGTTAGGGGTACCGCGGGGTATGTTGCGCGTATGCAGATATGGCCTCAGTTATGATAACTCAAATTTAAGAGGTGTGTGTGTGTGTGTGTATATATATATATATATGTAATTAAATTATAAAATTATAATAAAATGATTAAATCAAGGGTTAATGAGGAAAATAACGGAGAGTTAAGAGGTTTAAAGTCCAAAACCGTCACTTTGATTGGGCCAGTTAAATACGAGCAAATGAAAGGGTTTCATTGGTTTTAGATTTAGGCATTATATAAGGGTAAACCCCACAAGAAATTTGAAAATAGATTGAGAATCGAAGGAGCAATAGGGGTTGGAAGTTCTTGAAGAGTTTTGGAGTTTTCTCTTGCAATTAAGGTATAATCACTCAATTTAAGTTTAATTAATTGCTTAGATAGATTTATATGCATGTTAAACGTATTTTGGTTCAACCTAGTGTCTCAAATCGATCCAACCGGTACCAAATTAACAAAGAGTTATAAGGAACATTTCTTTTCAATAATTTGTTTAATCCATCGATTTATGGAGCGAAATTAGATAATTGGTTATGGATTATTGTTAGACAGAAGTGGAGATAAATAATGGTGAGTTTTATTAAATTATTTGGTATTAAATTCAGAAAAAAAAAATTAAAGCTTCCAAACATTTATTCATGACAGAAAATGGGTTATTTTCGGGTAAGGAAGATGGCATTTCGTATCTGATTATATTATTATTTATTTTTTTGTGAGTTAGAAATAACATCGGATTTAAGGATTTTCTTTTTAGAAAAGAATAAACATAAATGGATATAAGATTATAGGTCTGTAGCTTTGTTGTTATGTTCCATCCTCATTACCTACATAACTACATTGATTTTGTGCTGCACAGGAAATTTCATATTCAACCTTGGAGTTTCGGTTTTTGTTTTCTTATGGATCCAAAAACGTTTCAATAGCCCCGGTATTTCTATTAAATTAAACTCAAACCTATTTTGATAAATAGAATTGGTTAATTTTCATTGGCATCTATAAGGGACGCATAATGTTGATTAATGCTTTGGTAAATGAATTTTTGAACGAATTTATTTCTAGAAAGAATTATGTGGTTATATTTTATTTTTGAGGGTTAGATATTAACCGTTAATAATAATGACAAACTAATGAAAATTTTATTTGTAGCCATAATGAAATTTTATTAAAAACAATAATAATAATAATTACGTTTCCAATAAACGCATAGCTTAAATAACGATATTAGATAAATTGTTGGACGAACGAGACATATAGGGAGGGGAACCAAAATGATCGTATAGTGTGTTTTTTAGGATTATGTCTTAAGAAAAAAAATATTGGTTAAATGTAGGGTGTGTGTGGCGTGACAAACTTTGGTTAAGACCTAATACCAACAAGGTGAGTTTCGTATGAATTTTGTGGTTGTTTGCATTAAAAAGTTGAGTCTAATTTAATTGCAATTACATGTTACTGTTGATATTGCTATGGATATTTGTGTGAATTTTATGAACTATTTCATGTAAAATGGTGAAAATGGTGGGTGACATATCTATAGGGAACAAGTGTATTAACTACACGGCCTTATCTTTAGTCGTCGTATAGGGTGTCAATACGCGGCGGAGATCTTATGCTCTGATTAATTAGCCGTAAGCATATTTGTTGTGCCCGACGGAGGGAATTGTTCCCTGAAAATGACAGTGGTTCCCTAATATGTCACCAAGGGCGGAAAGAAATGAAAAGAATTATATTATGATATATTGTTGCATTATTTTTATTTTATTGACGTCAATATGCATAAAAACCACAAACTCACTAGACCTTAGGCTTACCCATTAGAATCTTTAAATGCACGTAACCTAGGAAATAATGTTGCAAGTGGCAACGGGAATGAAAAGTATAAGGCTCAGACTTGAAGAAGGCAACAAGC